TATAGTACAATATGATGTTTCAAGGGTCACTTGGCGGAAAAAGTCAACGAAATTATGGCACTCAACAACATAGTTCATGAGCTAGTCCCCCCCCAACATGACAAACTTGTTCCAGCCTCTAGATATTACGGTAAATCGTGTTGCCAAGGAAATTGTCCGACGTTGTTATAGTTCATATTACTCAGGGGAGGTAGTGAAACAGTGCTAGGAAAGCTCCGCGTGATGTTAAGGTTAACCTAAAGTTGTCTAAGATAAAACCACTTCACGCCGAATGGCTTGTAAAAGTTAACACTGAAATGCAGGACCTGGGTAGTTTGATAAAAAAGTTTCCATAAAGCTAGATATCACTGATGCTTTAAGCATGGACTATTTTATGCACGAAAACCCGTTACATTTGATGAAGATGATATGTGATATTAGACACTGATCATGTACACATATTTCAACATTTTTACTGCTTAACGACTGCTTTTCTTACTTACTGTATAAAAAATGGATTTAAAAATCATTTGCTGAAATTAAAAAACGTCAAAAAAAATGAAAAAATTTGGATTTTTGATGGTTTTGAATGCCTTCTAGCGTTCATATTAATGTCCGTTCATAATTATGTCTGTTCATTTAATGTCCGTTCAAATAAGGTCCGATAAGGTATTGTAATAGGACATTTAAACCGGAATATAATCTGAAAAGATAGTGCGAAACGGATTTAAAATGACGAAGTTATCAAGCAATTTGTTTCTTTCGTTAGCAAAATTGATTGGGTACTCAAGGATTACCCAATTACGACACCGTAATTGGGCTCTGTGCACGATTCCCATAATGCGGATCTAGCCTCAACCCAATCACCTGATCAAACGTAATGAACAAACTCGTTATGCTTCATATCTCGGTCTTGTGAGAGGCTAGAACTCTAATTTTTTTTCAGGAAAAACGTAATTTAAATGGCCAAACACCATTCAATAAAATTTGGCTCGATCCGACTATCAAAACTGTCTAATAAATGCGAAAATGATTCTTCATTAAAAGAAAATGAACACGAATATTTTTTGATTTAAAAAATTCCTCGAACCAGTGGTGGTAGTAAGTCATACCAGAAAGAATTATTTCAATTGGGCACTCAGTGATTGATCTATTAAGGCCAACGTATGGGTACTGACTATTGGACCCCCCCCCCCCCCCCCCTGTATAAATTAATAAATTCTCATGGAATGTCAAAACAAAACAAATCTTGTTGAGCCAAATTAGCGGGGCGGGATTATAAAAGCTGTGCCGGGGTTATTTATTCAGCGGGAAAAAACTAACAGCGGGAGCCGGGATTATCAGAATCTATTTAGCGGGAGCCGGGATTATCAGAATCTTATTCTATCCCGGAGGGGTTTATAAATGCCTAACACATTTTACATCACATACGTATTACGTTATTTCCTCATCTTTGCCTTTGTTCATAAGAGGGCCTCAGGCCTTTATGTATCGTCTTTTTGAATGTTTGCAGTTTTCCAGACATTAATTGGGGTGTCTAGTGGTTAACTTTATGTCTAGTGGTAAACTTATGTCTAGTGGTATAAGTTTTTATGTCTAATTTTAAAATTTTTAGAGAAGTTGAAAAGTTTTTGGCTAACAATGTTACATCACAGACGAGTGGGTTAAGACATGCTTGTGAAAGTGGATTCCTGGAAACCAATTTTTACACGGTTCATGCTACCCTGATCATTATGGGCCTAACATGTTTTGTTCGGTTTTCTGAAGTCCGTACCTAGTAGTCAAAGTAGTTCAGCAGTAGGATGGTAGACTAAATTTGTCGTTCTCAAGGTATAAGCATTGAGCAACACTCAATGTTTGAATGTTTCCACATCAAAACGAATGAACCTTGAGGATGCCTCAATTTATATACATTCTTTTATAGCTGTGAAATACTATTGTCTTATTGTATCACATACCTGTATCACATACTTGACACGTCTCCTCCGCTGTACACATGAACCTCGTTAAGCCACATTAATCACAGTGGACCCAATTTTCGTTTGTATTGTTGAAACACACTCGTTGATGTCGAACGAAAGTTTCATCATACTTCCAACTCTGGTAAAACATTATTTTCCAATTGTAACACTATTTTTTAATTCTTCAATTTACATTTTACACGTTAGTTAGGTAATTGTTGATTAACTCTCTTAAGCATGTGGTTCGTCACGATATTGTTAGCATCCAGCGAAGCTTTAGCAACCCTTGAAACAAACTTAAGTGGCGATTGTTTGAAGATAAACGAACAAACGGAGGACTTCATCACCACTAACCCACAAGACAGCTCAGTTAAATTAGCTGAAGAAGTGGACGTTAACCCATTAGGGACGACGAGTTTTAAAGTTTGCCGATTTTGATGCCGTTTAACACACTAGGTCACTTTACAGCAAAAATGAGATATCCAAAAAAGCTAATCTGTATCTCGTTTACTTTAAAAGATACAGCTATGGTCGCATACGACCCACTCGTCCGGGTCGCAAACGACCCATCACGGTTTTTCGGCTTTAACTTCTGAAACAAAGGCGTTAGGATAAAATAAAATAAAAAGCATAAGTTAAAAACATATGGTCAATACTGTGTGACTCTAACTTTTTAAAAATAAAGAATTTGGGTCATTAACGACCCACTCGGCTCACTTGCTTATTACTACATATGTCCATGTAGCTTCTTGAATTCAGCCTAAAGCATGACATCATAAGTTCAAAATCGCCTCTCAGCAAGTGATAATCATCATAAACTGCGAAAAATCGGTTGAATGGGTCATTAGCGACCCACTAGGACCACAAAATTGATTAATTAAATATAATGTTGTCAAACTTTTACAAATATTAGTATAAAAACATGTTATATCTTGGTCATTACTCCTGTACGTTGATTTAACTTTTAAAATCGATCAACTGGGTCAATAACGACCCACTCGGAAGTTGAACCACGACATTAATTATCAGTATCATGTTGTTCTACCATCAAGAAAGACACTCGTTGGTCTTAATTCCACGCAAACCACGGGTGGCTGACTACTAGCCCTTCTGAGATCTGGAGTCTCACGGTAATCTGCAGATCACGTCACCCAATGACTGACGAATAATGGGCAGAATTGGATTGATAGGTAGGTGAGTTTATCAGCTGTTAGTACACGACCGTAATGTCGTGAGACAGCAAACAACATGCCTATCTTTTCCCGATTCCTAGAACGTCCAAGAAGAACTATACAACTGCTGGATTCAGATTTCAGATGGCTGCATCTACTCTCTTCGCAGCTCCCTTTCTTTACTTCTTAGGGGCCGTTCATATATTACGTAATCACTTATTGGACAATTTTTACGCCCCCCCCCCCCCACCACATAGCTATTATGTCAAAATTACACAAGCTGAATCATTTGGAAACTCCCCTCCCTCTCGGCCGATTACGTAATACTTGTTTTCGTTTTGAAAGCTGCCTCGTTGTTGCGGGGTTTGTTACCCAAAACGAGGTAGTTGTCTGAGAGATTGCAGGTTGCAGCACCGCCAGCCAAATGGGGGGGGGGGGGGGGCGGGGCAGCAGTTGTTTAGTTATTCTCGTACTTTCTAGGAATGAAAAAAACATATTGGCATGTTGGATTAGAATATGCAATTTGACCACTCGTCTTTCAGTATTTACCCAAGGTTACATGATATCTCGTATACTTCGTTCAGGGGATTTTTCTTGAGTGACATGATCTGATCACCGAGGGACCCTGGGTCTCAAGCGTGGGTTGTAGCAGGTCGTTTACCAAGATTCGAAATTGACGAAAAAGGTAACAGAATCTAATAAGCAACAACAACAGCATGGCTATTACCTAGCAAGTTAGGAACGAGGGCCGATTCCTTTTCTTTTGCGGCACGGCCACGGTCCTTTCGGTACAGATTTCCACGCACCATAGTATTATAGTCAGGACGCAACTCCAGGCATATGCAGTAGTGTTATTCTCGCAGCTCTTTGATGAGTGATGACGGCCCTTCAGTTGGCCCTGGATCTCAGAAGGGCTAGTAGTCAGCCACCCGTGGTTTGCGTGGAATTAAGACCAACGAGTGTCTTTCTTGATGGTAGAACAACATGATACTGATAATTAATGTCGTGGTTCAACTTCCGAGTGGGTCGTTATTGACCCAGTTGATCGATTTTAAAAGTTAAATCAACGTACAGGAGTAATGACCAAGATATAACATGTTTTTATACTAATATTTGTAAAAGTTTGACAACATTATATTTAATTAATCAATTTTGTGGTCCTAGTGGGTCGCTAATGACCCATTTAACCGATTTTTCGCAGTTTATGATGATTATCACTTGCTGAGAGGCGATTTTGAACTTATGATGTCATGCTTTAGGCTGAATTCAAGAAGCTACATGGACATATGTAGTAATAAGCAAGTGAGCCGAGTGGGTCGTTAATGACCCAAATTATTTATTTTTAAAAAGTTAGAGTTACACAGTATTGACCATATGTTTTTAACTTATGCTACAGTTTTTATTTTATCCTAACGTCTTTGTTTCAGAAGTTAAAGCCGAAAAACCGTGATGGGTCGTTTGCGACCCGGACGAGTGGGTCGTATGCGACCGCAGTTAGTAAACAGCGTCTAGCTCTGTTTGTGAACATCTGATTATCACGGGCTTTTCATATGTCTCAAGGAAATCGTTGCCCGCAACTATTTTGTCCTCAACAAAATAAGCCTACATAAAGTTTTAATGTCCCAATCAAGGCAAGAAGTAAAGTGGAATATTTTCCAATTATGACGACTAATTAGCCTAATTATTTAGTTGTTAGTAATTAATTGGGTCTCGACTGGAAAGTCAATAATGTAGCCAAATAAATTTTGAGCATATGTGCGAAAGATTCGTTGCGTTTAGTATTATGGTTTGTCCTCTATAGCCTCTAGAAAAGGTGGGTCGTAAACGACCCTATCGTCCCTAATGGGTTAAGACATTTGTATTGGATGAACCCTACACGCTAGGTCACATGGCAAATTTGTCTGGTTTAACCAGCTCATTTTCCTTGTTGGAACCTGTTTATAAAGGATCTTGTAAGGAGGATCCTGCACCCAGACGCTCCATTGTTGAGTCAGCGTATCAGCACAACTGTGTACTGGCCGTTAACGCTAATTACTTCGATGAGTCCTCCGGAGTGTGTTTTGGGAATATGATATCCGAAGGAGAGATTGTTAAAAACGATAACCATGACAAGAATCCAACGTTTGGCCTGATGAAGAATGGTTCAGCATTGATGGGCTACATTGCACCTGAACGGCTGAGTGCAATGAACATGAAAATGGCAGTTCAAGGAATGGTATGGCTATTGAAAAATGGAGAAAATATTGTGAACAAATCCTTAAGCGAAGAATGCGGTGAATGGCAGTCTGCTGATATAAAACCACTGTACAGATTCGCCACAGTCACAACAGCTAGGCTCGCCATCGGAACTGATAAACACGGCAATGTACTGATCATCCAAGCGGACGGTAAGACATGGGCTAAAACCAGACAAGGACTTTCTCTGCACGAGTTTGCTGAAGTGTTGATATCGTACGGGATGTACAACGCAATCAACCTGGACGGAGGTGGTAGCACTACCATGTTTTACAACGGAACGGTTATGAATTATCCTGCTGACGTGTGCGGGAAGTTTCGGTGTACGAGAGAGGTTTCTGGCTTTTTCTGTTTACGCAGAACTACAATTGAGATAAGAAATCAGGTGCTAATTGTTAATGTAAACTTTGTGCATATAATTATCATGGTGATTGTAACTATTTTTATTGTTTGTTTGTTTATGTACTTATTATTAAGTTTATTTGGTAAAAAGTCCCTTAAAGTAAAGGTACCTAAAAGTGCGTAAATTTAGGTCGTTTCGTGTGTAAAGTGTGTTGTGTTTTTAAAGTGCGTAAAGTGCGCACGAACCAACTACCTTAAGGCCAATAAATTTGGTTCACACATTACCATTACTGTATTTTGAAAATTTTTTGAACAGGTGTTCGTGAACATTGAACAACTTATGACATGATGGTTAGATTGGTTACCAGATCATATGACATGTTTAATTCCTGTTTTATTCCTGTTTTATTCCTGTTTTATTCCTATTTTATTCCTATTTTATTCCTGTTTATGACTGCATAATAACAGTACACAGACTTGCTTGCGATAATGTCGGTGACCGACAACTATAAACCTCTCATTCCCAATTCCGGGCTCCCACAGTTATCACATCACATGGCCCTACCAGTGACGTATCATTTGTGATGTGATCCACATTATAGCCATCCTAACAACCGTACAACCAAGAACCTGGGTAGGGTTCACATGACAGTTTACTTTTAGTAAGTAGCTGCTTATCATGATTTATGAAGTATATTAAGAAGTGTTGAGCTCTCGGTATGTGTTCGCATAACGGACGTGAGCCGGGTCCGAAAGGGGCTAGTTCTCGTATCCAAGGATGTGAGCCTTGGACACTGAATTAAGCAGGGTTCCCTTGACACTAGATCAAGCAGGGTTCACATCATCATATTTGTTATCAACATTTCTCCTTGCCTGCTTACTTGTTTCAAGATATATCTGTAGTCTCGTAGTGTAAGTGTAGTTAAATTGTGCTACATTTATCTGTGATAAATTTATATTAAATAAAAATTTGTAAATGTTCAAGTAAAAGAAGGCTGTTCTAAAAAATAATTCCACTGTAGTTTGCTTGCATCAAGATACCTTACTAGCTTGCAGTTGCATCAAGATATAACTTATAGTTTGGTAGGTAAACTTTTGAGGGCATCAAAAACTGCGCCAGAATTCAGAGATTTCATGTCAAGCATCAAATCAATCCGATCTTCCCTGACTGACTTATTGGTTAAAATAAGCCTGAAAAGGACAATTTAAGCTTTTTGACTTTAAAAATGTATAACACACCAGCCTTTTTATATACGATATCAAGATTTTACAAACACCTTAACGTAGATGTAAATAGATGGCGAGCAAAATTTCAACCCGATACGGCGAGAAATGATTAACTTATAGCCTCTACATGAAACAAATTGTGCTTTTCCGAAAATTCCACTCTAACCAGGAAATGCTCGATTACAAAAATAGATATTCTCAAAATAATTTTTTTGGTGTGGAAACGGTGCGCTAGAAGGTCACTGAACTGCCTATGAGGTCATTTAGGTTGGACAGGTTTGGTGTATGCCCCCTAAAGGTGATGTGAACCCTGCTTGATTCAGTGTCAAGGGTTCACATCATCGCAAGCAAGTCTGTGTACTGTTATTATGTAGTCATACCATCATGTCATGGATTACAGGATTTACAGGATTACAGGATTTACAGGATTTTACAGGATTAAAATTAAATTATAGATCCATTATCATGGACCGTCATAATTGTACAGAGATTAATGAAAACAATCATCTTTGCTTGAAGTCAAGGCCAGGGTTATCCTTAAATCTTAATTATGACTAATTCGCGAGGTTCTCACCAAATTGATAGTAAAATTGTTTAAGTTTCGTGCATTTGAATTACGCTGACGCATATCTTCGGTGAAGCTATTTCGCTCTTCGGAGCAACGAAGGAAATAAGTGCACACACAGTTGACAGCATAGGAGCGCCTTTCTTGAAATTGAATATACTGTGGGGTGTTTGGTTGAATATCAAGTGAGCGGTGGCAGTGAATATGGAGGCTCTGGTGATTTTGAGGAATTACAGTTGAGTAAGGAGACAAAATTTCCATGAGATGATCTTTGAGATTTGTTTCATTGATATTGCTGGAGTCGGTGATTTCATTGCTTATTTCAATGATTGGCAATTTGAGAAAGATTTTTGACTAATTTCGACCTCTGTTTTGAATACAAGTCACATATGTAAAGAACATGCGACTCGTCTTCGATGTTCTCAACGCCCATACTTGATTGGCACCAACCACATAGTCTTTGCTCACGGGGTGTGTTGGAGTATCTGCCTCTTTCAATATGGAGATCATGGGCGCTGATTCTAAGTTTTGTGGTGCTGTAACGACGAGAAAAGCCTTTGCATAAGTATAAGTAGGGCTCTCGGTTGAAGGTGTGTTTGATTGAGTGATAGAATGAGAGTTTAGAAGAAGTAGATTTTTGGTATTGCCAACATTTTTTGAATTGATTGGTTAGAGCTTCGATGATTTTAGGAATTCTATACTTTTTGCTGCATAGTGGTTTGATGGATTGACTAAAATTTGACTGATTTATGAGGGAGTCTTTTAATAATTTGTGATCACTAACAGGGTTGGGCGCGGCTTTGTTAGCTGCATTTGTATTGAGAATTCGGTGCGCAGTTACGTGATCTAGTTTGTAAATTTCCTCTAGTTCAAGGAGTGGTTTTATGTATCGATACCAAGGTAAGTTTAGTGATTTTTGTTCTTTTACGGCTGCAGTGACAAACGAATTCGACTTTGATTTTGTATTTAGCCTTTTGAAATAATTTAACGTTAAGCGAATTGATTGATAAATCAGAGGAATTCTTCCTGTTTCTCCCCAAACACCTACATTTGATGCTTTACGATGGACTCCCAATGCCCATTTTAGGAATGAAATATGCACTCTTTCTTGCAGAGAGGCGCTGATTTTTTTAAGTAAGTTAGTAGCGGTTGCTTCTGTCGAGTTAATCGTTTTGCAAAGAGATTTATTGATCGTACTAGTGGGTGTCCATATCGGAGCACCATATAATAAAATGGGCTTGATGAGAGAGTCGAACAGTGTAAGGAGTGCTTTAAAAGATAACTTTGAACGCATGACAACCCTTTTCAGGCCAAAAAATGCACGCATTGCTTTGGTTTTAAGATTTTGTTGAGCGATCTGTACTTGACCCGATTGATGAAGTTCAAATCCAAGGTAACAATAACTGTCAACAATTTCAAGATTAGATCCGTTGAGTGTAAATTTGATGTTTTGTATGTCCTGTTTTAACGTTTTCTTACCAAAGATGACTGCTTGAGTTTTGAGTTCATTGATTTCAATGCCCCACTCCTTACAAAAATTACCGAGAATATTAAGTTGCTTTTGAGTGGTTTCCTGGTCGAGTGATGGGAGTATAAGGTCATCCGCCCACAGTAGGTGGCTAACAGTCATATTTGAAAGTACAGGGCAATTTGGAAAATCTAGGAGGCAGGACATATCACTGAGAAAAACTTTAAAAAGATCAGGTGAGAGTGGGTGACCTTGTTCTGTACCTTTACGTATCTGAAAGCGTTTACTGAGATGACCAGATAATTTTATGTAAGCGTACGAGTTTGAGTACATATTTTTGAGGACATTGTAGAAGTTTCCAGTTATGCCATTTTTTGCGAGTTTGAGGAAAAGGGCTTGACGGCAGACTGAGTCGAATGCTTTTTTAAAATCAACAAATACTGCATATACAGGTTTCCCCAAGAGTTTATATTTTGAAGCTATAGTTTTCATGGTTAGTATGTGATCGTATGTTTGAGCTTTCTTTGTGAAGCCTAGTTGGTTAGGTGGATCAGGACAGTTTTCAGAGCGGAAGTGAATGAGTCGTTCTAAGAGAATAGTCGAGAAGAGTTTTCCTATGACACTGCTGACAGCAACTGCACGGTAGTTGTCAGGATCCGATTTATTACCCTTTTTATGAAGTGGAGATATAATGCTGACGTTCCAGGGGTAAATTCCTTGTGAGAAGCAGGCGTTGAAGAGGTTCAACAAAATCAATTTATGATTGGTGTCCAGACATTTTATAATTTCGTTGTTAATCATGTCGAGTGAGGAAGCTTTACCATTTTTGAGGAATTTTATACTAGAGTCAAGTTCTGTTGTGGTGATTAAGGTGTTGAGTGACTCAGGATGAGTTGCACCTTGATTTATCAAGTCAGCTTGATCAATCATGGAAACTTTTTTATTTTCATTTATTGTTTTGTGGTTATCAGAATATAGGTTACCAAAAAAAGTCTCGAATCTATTCATATCATGACTATCGAAATTAAGAGTTTCCTTTTTCTGATTTTTTAGTTTTTTGAAAGATTGCCAGTTGAGAATTTTCCCCCCCTCTATGTCCTCGTTCATACGTGCGAAGAATTCGTTTTTGGCAGAATTCTTCAAACGCTTATAGCTACCCTTGACAAGATAATAGTTTTCACGTATAAGATTGTTTGACGGGAATTTTGAGGTTGCATCTGTAGCTTTACGAAATTCTCTTTTACCTAATCTCGTTTTCCAGTTAAACCAAGGTTTGTTTGAGGTGTGAGATTTTTTGGGTGGTTTGGTTTGTTTGAAACACTTCGAGGCCATGTCGCGAAGATGTTCTGAAAGTCGTTTGTTAATGTTTTTAAGTTCACTTTCATTATTACGGTCATTGTCTGCTAAATTATTTTGATCGGCGAGTAAGTCGATGTTCGATTGAAGTTCTTGGATTAAAGTCAATGATAGATTTTCAGACTGAGCTTCGAAAAAGTCGTCTTTGTTCTCTTCGTTGATAATGTATCTGGTTGGCGCTGTCTGATAAGTGTCCTGTAATGGGGCACGTTGGTTGATCGAGAATCTATTGCATTTTAATTCAGTACTGAGGGGTTTATGATCAGAATGTTCAGTGAATGACAAGATTTTGAGGTAATTGATTCTGATCTTTGTGGAGTTGGTCACTGCAATGTAATCAATAACGCTGCACCCATTTTTTTGGATACTTGTGAAG